ATGTAGCATGTAGTGTATCTGCGCTACAGTCATGAGTGCAGATTAGGGGTGTAACAATATATCGTGTCACAATATATTGCAATAGAAAAATTCAACAATATGTATCGAGGATAGTGACAATGGGTCTCATTCATGAAACATTCGTAAATATACGAGTAAATATGCGAGTGATTTGCGCGAAAGAGACCTTCCCGAAAACTCTTCTCCTGATTCACAAATACTTCGTAAACGTCAGATGTGATAGTGAAATGTGTGTGTGTGTTAATGAATTCCAATCAGTCGTAAATGGGATGCGCGTGCACGTTCATTCTCAATTACCATAAATCCCGCCCATTAAATCCGACTGACAACTATATATGGGCATCATATTATGACATGAATGCGAATGAAAAAAAAAATTCTCAGATGCAGAAATTGAAGTTTTATTATCAGAAGTTCATTCAAAACGTCACATTTATTTTCAAGCGTACATAGTGACGTATCGGGTCCTAAAAAAAAGGAAGCTTGGCAGCATATTACAGATGCAGTTAATGGAGTTTCATCTGTTAATCGAACATTCCCAGAAGTGAGAAGAAAATGGTTCGACATTAAGCTTGAGAGCAAAAAACGAATTAGTTCACTTCGGAAAAATAGTATTCAAACTGGAGAATGACCACCATCGCAGATGCTATTACTGGCTCTCATAATAAGTAGAGGTCGACCGATTCATCGGTTTTGCCGATTAATGGGCGCCGATAGTTGTTCGGTGGAACTATCGTTATCGGCAAAAATCCACACCGATAGTTTTCCGGGTTGCGTCCGTTGCTGGAGCGGCTGAGAAGTGCGCGCGGTCATTACACAGCACGAGAGCGCTCAGAACAGAAGAGACTGCTGGCATTATACAGAGTGAGAGCGGCCTCTAGAGGACAAATAACAAACTATCACTGGCTAAGTTGTTTACGTTAACACGTGAGGCAGCGCGCAGCACGGAGAGAACACGCAGCGAGAGCGCTGACATTTAAAACACCGACAGCGAAACGGTATGAATACATAACACTAAAGTAGCTACATATTGCCATATCATTACAAATTAATTCATTTGTTGACAAGATGCTGCATCAGCAGAGAAAGAACAGTATTTGCCGTCGAGGCTGTGAGGACTCTAACATTACCTCAGTCAACCGTTAATGCAATGTGACAAAAACACACGCAAACCTGACCCAAATGTTTTATGGCGCAATTGTTACCATCTATTTGCATTATTTTTATCCGGCTGGTCATTTATATGCATTCATTAGCCGACGAAGTTGCTAAAACTAGTGACGTGATTGCTTTCTCAACATTGATATGTTCATGCAGCCGACGGAAACGTAAACTAATCAGAAACGCGTTCGATTTAAGATCTTTTTAATCACTACAATAGATCTTGTTATTTTGATTAGATAATCATCAAGTGTTCTAAAATATAGAAGCAAATAAAGTGAGAGACTATAGGCTATATTACGTATACATACTACAGGTCTTTTATTACATTTTAATGGCCATCTTTAAGCACGACTCTTTGGAATCATATGAAATGGTAACACTTTACAATAACATTCCATTTTTAGCATTAAGTAAGATTAATACAAGTTGTAGAAGAATTATTCATTGTTACGGTAGTTTGTTAATTTCAACATTTACTAATGCATTTGAAATGGAGTTTTAATTCTTATTTTATCTTTTATTACCTTAGTTAATGTACTATGAATGAACTAACATGAATGATAAAGGTACAATTGTATTGCTCATATTAATACATGCAGTAAAAAGGTATATTGCATTATGCATATAGTTCATGAAAGCTAGTTAATACATCCTTGTTTACAAATGGGACTTGCTAAGTGTTACCTATGAAATGTACGTTCTAGGTTATAGCTAACAAAACCTGTAATATTTTAATGTTTAAATTATTTTCTGTATAAAGTTTTAATATATTCATATTTATTTATTTATTTATTTAATTGAGCACATTTCAGTTCAGCACTGTTTTATTGTGAGTATGATGTTTGTTTTTAATCCAGTATCCATTAAAAAAAATATCGTTGATTTATCGGTTATCGGCATGTACGGTCAAACCTAGATATCGGTATCGGTAAAATCCACTATCGGTCGACCTCTAATAATAAGAAAAAACGTATGTAATTACTATATATAATATTTTTTCAAAATGCTGTGCAAATATGTACCCGATTAAGGTGAATTAAAATGCAGCCTTATTAATGAGCAAAACGTTCGGGTGTTAAGCGCACTATTTACGCATGGCTGGGAGCAGGTGTAGATTTCTTGCGTACCAACTAACATTTGGAAAATACAAACATTTTAATGAATCCGAAAATTTACGCCAGAACCACTTTACACACGATTTACACAAAAATTCGTTCTGCTCGTGTTTCATGAATGAGACCCATTATGTGGATAGTTCACCCAAACTAAAAATTACTGTGTGAGAAACAAATTCACGTTTTCAGAGTTTTGGTGTCAGTACTACATTAAACTACTATATATAATGTTGCATATAATGTATAATAATGCAGTGGGGAATATTTGTGTGTCCTGATAATGGCAGATGTCTGATGTTACCAGTAAAAAGTGTTCTACATTATTTAAAATATATCTAGTCAGTGACAGTGAAAGCATATTCGTCTAAAATAATTCAGTATTTTCATCTTCAGAATCATGAATATTGTTATTCTGGTGTCTCTATTGTCCTGTGCTTTGGGTTTCAGCACCAAGTCCAAGACTATTCATTTACACACACAATGTAATATCAAATTTAGCATTTTAATCAACAGTACATTTTTTGTTAACCTTATATTATATGTCTTGGAGTATCGAAATAATATGGTATCGTGAGTTCAGTATCGTGATATGTATCGAATCGTGACATGAGGGTATCGTACCTTTGTCTCTCAGCACCAGTGGTTTTTTGCCAGGTTTGCCAGTGTTTGCTGGTGGAGCGGGTCCCGGCGCTGACCCGGATCTGTTCGGGTTCTCGACCGCTGCGCCACGGCCACACGGTTTCACATGATCATATCTATCACACAACACACATAACACACATCTAATACATATATGAGACATACATGATGATTCTTCAGTTATGGGACCTTTTCATTCTGTTATTAAAGTCACTTTTCTCCACTTTTTGTATTTGTGAATGATCTGTGATTGTATATACATTGTTTTGTGATTGATTGTGACTAGACTTTTTGAACAACCTGGTAAGAAAGAATAATCAAATACATAAAGTTCAAAAATTAAATTGCTCTATCTGGAATTTTTTCCAAAAATATCTTTAAAATTGCACTGTAATGTCACTCTTTACATAGTCGTCTTGTGGCCTTGGCGCTGGCTAGGAAGAACTGTGGATCGTATCATACAAGTCGTGTACGTAACCTTTTAGCACATAGTTATAGGCATCTAAACATTTATACGCCCTTGGTTTCTCTTTACGCTCGGTTTCTCTATCAGGTGTAGATATCAGGCCACTCAATCGAGGTAAGGTTAACATTAATCCAGTCAGATCATCCATTGAGTGAGTGTGTACAGGTCGGGCCAATCTGGTTCCGTCCATTAAAGTTAACTTTTGCACATAACAATCGCAGTCCTGGACAGTGACCTTACATATTAAGATAAAATCGGATTTCGGATTTTCTCCAGTCATTGTTTAAAAAAAAAAGGTAACAAAACTTGTTAACTAGCTTTAGTTAAGCGGCCAGGGGAATCTTTTTGCCTCCACCTAAGCTCCGCCCACAAAAAAACGTCACAATGTTTACTAAATGAAAAGGGGTCAATAGTGTGAAACGCTTCTCAAACAAGAACAAATGTAGGGCTTGATTGTGTCCGTGGGGAATTGATTGGATGGTTGTGGTTTGCTATTGGTGGATCTCTAAGAGTGACAGCTAGCCCCGCCCTCGCGCCAGTACAAACGTCATCAAAGACAAATTGAAGAATCACTCATAAAATATGCCTAGTTACTCAGCAAAATGCATGCAGAAAGGTTTAAAACATGATATTTGCGTCACCTGCATCGGTCTCCATAGGCACAGACCCCTCTCTGGTAGTATTTGCAGATGGTTGAAGGTTTGCTCGTGGTCAGATCGTGAGAGAACAAACACCTGCTGCCCTCACGACACACACCGTGCAGGAAATACCTGCACACACGCACACACACACACAAAACATCATCAACACACCTGAATCAGAGCATGAGATGCTGAATAAATGTGTAAATGTCAGAGATCCGATGCGTCAGTCCAGCTACACCATTTTCTCTCATGTCAAAGTCATGATGATATTATCATTGACCTTATTTACTGCAGTCAGCGATGCTTTGATGGCTGTGTTATGACGGTTATGCGTTTCTCTTTACCTGCAGGTCACTTGTTTCGTTGACATCTTTTATCCGGCTACGAATGTAATATTTTACTGTGAAATGTTACTGTCTGCACGGTTTTGTGCAACCTGAAAATATCACCGGCTCAGCGCCGCGACTGATCATTGCTTCCGCCTAGTGCGATTCACTTCAGGGAGTCGGTTCTTTCGAACAAATCGTTGCATAGCCATATCTCAGTTTATGGTTAAAAGAGCAGTTCTTAGTTTGGTTTATAAAATGGGAACGTTAGGGAAACGTTCTGTGTTTGCTGGGAGTTCACAAACAATCATTTTAGATCATGTAAGTACGCATGGGATCGTTTGAACTGACTCTTTTGAACAATTCATTCACAAATCGCATATATCGCTTTTTCCGCTGAACATAACAAACCAGCTTTCACTACAGATACTGATTAGGAAAGGTGTGGGAAATAATGTAGCTCCAAAAGAGCGAATGAATCGGATAAACTGACCTGGAAAGAGAATAAGTTATATTATTTAATTTTATAGATGGATTTACTGGAGGAATCTGTTTTTTTTGCGCCCCCTGCTGGACTAGTTTCGAACACAATGACGTCACCTGTGGAACGTGAGAGAACGAAACCGATCTGAGATCAGGCTCAGAGGACGACAGGTAACGCGAACATCTGAACACTAATGGAGGAAACTGTGGTCAAATACAGACACTGTGGAAGAGATGTGTACAGTTTCTCCTCGTATTCTCAGTGTCAGTGTCCGATCTGTCATCAGACTCCAACTCTCGGACTGTTAAACGCGCCTGTCGCGCTTTCCTGCCCGTTTACTAATGGACACAAAGTCTCATGTGCGTTTCTCATAGGATCTATTCACGGACCATCATATATTGGGTGAGTGTATACGACTATTGTGCATATAATGTAATATTCAGTTCCTGTGAAATACTGTTCCAGTGGGCGTTGCATACATGAATATTCACGAGTTCCACAATTGTGGGCGTGATCTTGAGATAATGAGATGGAACTGAAAATATTAATGCATGCTCCTCAAATCGCAACTTATTTAGTGGATTATTTCGAAAAGGTAATGAAGTTTCAATGCTAAGCAGCATTAACATGATAAACTTGAGGCTCACAGATGGGGGCTGGGACACACTGGCTACATATAAAACAATCAAACCCAAAGAGATATATATTTAATAATATCCTGGCTCTTCCAAGCATTTATAATGGTGCCTGAGATTTTGAAGCCCAAAAAAGTGCATCCATCATCATAACAGTCCTCCATACGGATCCAGGGGTTAATAAATGCCTTCTGAAGCGAAGAAAAATTTATAACTTTATAAACTATAAACACTGGCTTCCAATAATGGCCGTTCCAGCGAAAGAGTGACCTCTGACCCGACTCATGATGTATTGACCATAGACTGTAAAAAAAATATGTTCGTAGTGTCCGTGACGTCACCCGTTGTGTTTCTGAAGAGTTTTTTTGAAGCCCAAAGTGGGCGGAGCCGGCCGTCGCCATCTTGGCCGCGCCTCACTCCCGGATAAACGAAAATGTGCAGCGAGCCGGATTAGCTGAGGTGGCATGACGCTAACACACAGCAGACAAACGGCTAGTAGTGACATCAGCGGAAATCCACCTGTCACTCAAGTGGGCACGCCCTTAATTATGCAGAACTTTAAGGCTTAATATAATTTAAACGGATGAGTTATAAAAAAATTCACCCGCCTCACAGTCGTCATGAAGGGCAAAATTAGCTATATAGACCAAAACCACTTTTTGCACCAGTTTATTTCTGCTGTAAAGTTGGGCATTTTAAGATGCGGGTCTATGGTAGAGTTCTCAACGGGTCGGGTCGGCCCGACAAACCCAACGGGACCCGCGGGTTCGGGCAGATAATTCATGTTGATGTGTCGGGTTACATCGGGTCCGGGCTTTAAAAGCCACGGGCCGGGTCGGGTCGGGTTGTAATTTTCAGGCCCGTTGAGAACTCTAGTCTATGGGATTGAGTCTCTTCTGCAGCCGGGATCTAGTGGCCAGTGGATGAACAGCAGTTTAAGTCACTTCTGTGTCGGATTCAAGGGAGAGACAGAAAGATTGCAGAGGATAGAGCAAAACAAAACACCGGTCACGAATTAAAGTCTAAAAGGACTTTAAAGGACTTTTTCATTCTTAAACAGAAATGTGGGAGGAGCTTGAGTTTGTTGTTTGAACCGTGAGAGGCGTCGACTCTCAGCTGAGCTTACGCTACTCCTACATCATACATCGGGTCAAAGGTCATGTGTCGGGTCAGAGGTCACTCGTCATGCGTCGGGTCAGATGTCACTCGTCATGCGTCAGGTCAGAGGTCATGCGTCGGGTCAGAGGTCACTCGTCATGCGTCGGGTCAGAGGTCATGTGTCAGGTCAGAGGTCACTCGTCATGCGTCGGGTCAGAGGTCATGCGTCGGGTCAGAAGTCACTCGTCATGCGTCAGGTCAGAGGTCATGCGTCGGGTCAGAAGTCACTCGTCATGCGTCAGGTCAGAGGTCATGCGTCGGGTCAGAGGTCATGCGTCAGGTCAGAGGTCACTCGACATGCGTCAGGTCAGAGGTCACTCGTCATGCGTCGGGTCAGAGGTCACTCGTCATGCGTCGGGTCAGAGGTCACTCGACATGCGTCAGGTCAGAGGTCACTCGTCATGCGTCGGGTCAGAGGTCACTCGTCATGCGTCAGGTCAGAGGTCATGCGTCGGGTCAGAGGTCATGCGTCAGGTCAGAGGTCACTCGACATGCGTCAGGTCAGAGGTCACTCGTCATGCGTCGGGTCAGAGGTCAATCGTCATGCGTCGGGTCAGAGGTCATGCGTCGGGTCAGAGGTCATGCGTCAGGTCAGAGGTCACTCGTCATGGCAGAGGTCAGTCGTCATGCGTCGGGTCAGAGGTCAGTCGTCATGCGTCGGGTCAGAGGTCACTCTTCCGCCGGAACTCGACTTGCGTCATAATATAGACCTAGACTAAATGATGGGATAATTTTCATTTTTGGTGTGTTTTGATCCAGCTTTGATCACAGGAATAAACTCACATAGAAAACAGCTATTTTGAATTGTAAAAATATTTCAAAAATTTTACTGCAATTTTTGATCAAATAAATGCAGCCTTGCTGAGCAGAAGAGGCTCTTCGAGACTGTTGAATTGTAAGCTATAGTGACTCTTTTTCTTTCATTCTTTTAATGTTTTTCTCCAGAGAATGGAGTGACACCGAGATACACGTGGGTCTTTCAAACTCAGAAGGTACAGTATTTCCCAGCTGTGAATATTATACTGTTAGTTTGAGTGTGTTCGTCAGCTGTGTTTGTCGCAGGTCTGGTCTACAACTACACCCTGTCCGGGGTCCGCAGAGATGCTGGCGGCTGGGAACGGTGTGTGTGTGTGTGTGTGTGTGACCGGCTCGCGAGATCATGGGACACTGAGCTGGAGAAGTTCTCTGTGCTTCCAGACTGGACTTCAGAACGGTACAGCATTACACACACTCCTAGCGGTGTACCGATACTCTCACGTCACGATTCGATACATATCACGATACTGAACTCATGATACCATATTATTTTGATACTCCTAGACATATAATATAAGGTAACAAAAAATGTACTGTTGATTAAAATGCTAAATTTGATATTACATTGTGTGTGTAAATGTTTAGTGTTGGACTTGGTGCTGAAACCCAAAACACCAGAATAACAATATTCATGATTCTGAAGCTGAAAATACAGAATTATTTTACACGAATATGCTTTCACTGTCACTGACTAGATACAGTGGGTATAGAAAAGAATCACCCCCCTTTAAAATAATCACATTTTGTTGCTTTGCAGCCTGAAATGAAAACGGACAAAAATATTTTTTGTTTTATTCAGCTGTATTTACAACTTATAACATCCAAGTGAAAATTATATTTAACCAACTTGTCAGAATTTTTTTTTTTACAAATTAAAAAACAGAATCACTGAGTTGGAAAAAGAATCACCCCCCTCCTAAAAATGACTTGTAAACCCAACCAGGTGTAGTTAATCACCTTCTCAATAGCACACAAAGCCAATTGACTTTCAAATGTGATCAGCTGTGGTCATTTTGATTAGCTCAGCATGAAACAAGCTTTTCCTGAAGCATTTCAGTCCATGGTAGAGCAACTGAAGAAAACAGTTAACTATGGGTGGCAAGGCATTGTCAAAAGATCTCCGGGATAAAGTTGTGGACAGGCACAAGTCAGGAGATGGATACAAAAAAAATGCAAAGGCTTCATCAGTGCCTAGAAGCACAGTGAAGTCTATTATTAAGAAGTGGAAGGTATTTGGTACAACACAGACCCTCCCTGGGTCAGGACGTCGCTCCAAACTGGATGAAAGAGCCAGGAGGAAACTGGTCAGAGAGGCTACCAAGAGGCCTACAGCAACTCTGAAGCAGTTGCAGGAATTCATGACAAAGAGTGGTCATCGTGTGCATGTGACAACAATATCACAAATTCTCCACAAATGTGGCTTGTATGGGAGGGTTGCAAGAAAAAAGCCACTCCTCAAGAAAGGCCACATGCAGTCACGACTGAGCTTTGCCAAAACACACCTTGAAGATTCTAAGGCCACGTGGAAAAAGGTGTTATGGTCAGATGAGACTAAAATTGAATTATTTGGCCTCAACGCCAAACGATATGTCTGGCAAAAATCCAATACAGCTCACCATCCAAATAACACCATTCCTACAGTAAAGCATGGAGGTGGTAATATCATGTTATGGGGTTGTTTCTCTGCAGCAGGGACTGGAGCACTAGTCAGGATAGAAGGAAAAATGGATGGGGCAAAATACCGTCAAATTCTTGAGGAAAATCTGCTGCTCTCTGCCAGAAAGTTGTCAACGGGAAGAAGATTTACCTTCCAACATGACAATGACCCAAAGCACACAGCAAAACTGACCACACAGTGGTTGAAGGAGAAAAAGGTGAATGTCCTTGCATGGCCTAGTCAGAGCCCAGACTTAAACCCCATTGAAAATCTGTGGAATGACTTGAAGACAGCAGTCCACAAACGGTCACCATCAAATTGAACTGAACTTGAGCAGTTCTGCAAAGAAGAGTGGTCAAATATTGCAACGTCTAGATGTGCAAAGTTAGTAGAGACATATCCCAACAGACTAAAGGCTGTAATTAAAGCAAAAGGTGGTTCAACAAAATACTGAAACAAGGGGGTGATCCTTTTTCCAACTCAGTGATTATGTTTTTTTGATTTTTTGAATATTTTCTGATATGTTGGTGTTATATCTTTCACTTGGATGTGCACTGAGTATATACAGCTGAATGAAACAAAAACTGTGTCTGTCTTAATTTTAGGCTGCAAAGCAACAAAATGTGATTATTTTAAAGGGGAGTGATTCTTTTCTGTAACCACTGTATATTTAAAATAATGTCGGACACTTTTTACTGGTAACATCAGACATCTGGCATTATCAGGACACACAAATTTGTTATTATACATTATATTCAACATTATATATAGTAGTTTAATGTAATGCGGTGTGTGTGTGTGTGTGTTCCTGCAGGTTCGAGGAGGAGCGTGTGTCCGGCTCCTGCTGTTACGGGTTCGCTCTGAGCTTTATAAACCACATGCTCCCGCGGATCGGCCAGCAGCCGCTGAGCAGAGACCAGTTCACCCAACGACACGTCTTACCCCGGATCAAGACGGTTTCTCAGTACATCAGCATCTACCATGCGATATCACAACATGGGTTTTACACCGCGAACGCACCGGATGACGTGTGATGCACATTTCCTCATAAAACGCTATATAATTTAATATACTGTATATAGGCCTATTATTTCCCTGCTCTTCATGAATGTATTAAAACACATGGTGTTCTTAGAGAACTCTAGGGTTCTTGAGTCAATGCTAAAGAACACTCAAAGGTTCCGAAAGAAGGTTTTCGCATATAAGAACCATTGCTTCCCAACAGAGGCGGTCAGTCATCTGTTCGTAAGGCTAGAGCCCTGTGTGCGATCGAGAGATTCCCTGGATGTTAAAGGCTCTTCATGGAATAAAGAAGCTTTATTTTAAGAGCGAAGGAGAAATGTCTTAAAGGTCCCGTTCTTCATGTTTTTTTGAAGCCTTGATTGTGTTTACAGTGTGCAATATAACATGTGTTCATGTTTCGCGTGTAAAAAAACACTGTATTTTTCACACAATTTACTTATCTGTATACTGCTGTTTTCACTGTCCAAAAAACGGCCCGATGACTTCCTTGTTCTATGAAGTCCCTCCTTCAGAAATACGTAACGAGTTCTGATTGTGCCAGCGGTTCCTGTGTTGTGATTCGACAGCAGCTTATCGCACGTTGCCCGGAAAGGTCACGCCTCTTACCATAAATTGGAGATGCATGCACAGCTGAAGTGCTTCTTCTCCGTAGGAGCGCAACAAGACCACGCCCCCTTTTTTGTGTATTCCTGTGGGCGGAGATTAGTCAACAAACTGTTCTAGTTACGTCATTAAAAAAGGAAGTAGAGGGATGTAGTCCAAACTGGCCGTTCGCTGTAGGCTTTGAAATGGGACTTCTGTTAAAGAAAAAATCTCGCAAGGCATTGAACTTAGAGCTTTATAATTTTACAGGTATTATTTATGCTCTAACAGCAACATTACACACTAACTAAAGTTTGAAAAATGGAATCGCGAAGAACGGGGCCTATTATTGCATAATACTTACATGTACTTAAATGTACACTATGTATTTTTTCTTTTTTTGTAATTAACAAGATTTAAATAATGACTCAATACATAATGTTTGTGTGTGTGAACAGAGGAGAATCTGCTGGAGAAAAGAGAACGAGACAAAGCTCGTAATAAAACAAGAATCAACATCAGATCCTGAGTGTGAGTGTGTGTGTGTGTGTGTGTGTGTGTGTGTGTGTGTGTGTATGGGGGGGGGGGATTGTCAGAGGATAGTTGAGTGTGTGTGTGGGATTGTCAGAGGATAGTTTTGTGTGTGTGTGTGTGGGGTGGGGGATTGTCAGAGGATAGTTGAGTGTGTGTGTGGGATTGTCAGATGATAGTTGTGTGTGTGTGTGTGTTTGGGGGGGGGGGGGGTATTGTCAGAGGATGGTAGAGTGTGTGTGTTGGATTGCCAGAGGATAGTTGTGTGTGTGTGTGTGTGGGGGGGGGGGGTTATCAGAGGATAGTTGAGAGTGTGCGTGTGTGTGTGTGTGTGTGTGTGTGAACAGAGGAGAGTCTACTGGAGAAAAGAGAACCAGACAAAGCTCGTAATAAAACAAGAATCAACATCAGATCCTGAGGTTGTTTATTTGTCTTGGGGGGGGGCGGGATAGTTGAGTGTGTGCAGGGTTCTCAAGTCTCACGCAATGTGTGTGTGTGTGGGGGGGGGGGTTGAGTGTGTCAGAAGATGGTTGAGTGTGTGTGTGTGTGGGATTGTCAGAGGATAGGTGTGGGGGGGGGTTATCAGAGGATAGTTGAGTTGAGAGTGTGTGTGTGAACAGAGGAGAGTCTGCTGGAGAAAAGAGAACGAGATAAAGCTCGTAATAAAACAAGAATCAACATCAGATCCTGAGTTTGTGCGTGTGTGTGTGTGTGTGTGTGGGGGGGATTGTCAGAGGATAGTTGAGTGTGTGTGTGTGTGTGTGTGTGTGTAGAATGACTGATCTGTTTATCGCCAGTCTTTGACAGAAGGCAGACGGAGGAACTGAAGACTGTCGTCACGCGAGCTGATGAACATTAATGAAGTTGCCATGAAACCGACACCGCAGTTCCTCAGGATTAATGGCGTCAGCGGCAACCGGATCCGCGTGAAACACACACACACACTGTTCACTCAGAGTGCAGTCTCACACAGAGTCTGTCCGTGTTCTTCCCGATGGACAAGAGTGTGATCAAACTCAGCCACTGTGAGAAGGACATCTTCTGCTTCTTCGTCCCGGATCAGTGTCCCGAATGCGGGATGAGCTTCAGTGGGAAGAGGCTGGAGGAGGCGCCGGTCAGCGTCCCCAACCCCTTCTCTAACGGACACAAGGTCCCGTGCGCTTTCCTCGTGGCATCGGCAGAACACAGTGTGCTCAGGTACGACATTAACATACTATGAACATACCATTGTCGCTCTTA